CCTCAATAAAGTCAACACCAAACTCAAGACAGTTAAATGTAAGCAAGTTTATTGTGCACTGTGAGAACACTCAGATTAACTATGGTAACAATTTGAGAGAAAGGAAAATGAACAGGACAAGGAAGGGGGGAAATAAAAGTAAGATGTAGTGACAAGCCTTTCTATATGGTATTTATTCATGCAGAGAGCTCTAGACTTACAAGAAAACCCCAAAGAGAACTTTAAATACCCCATTAAGGTCCAGGATCTTCAAGAGAACCTAGTTTAAAATGTCACTAACAGCCAGGTGCTGGTGGCTCACTCCTGTAATGCCAGCTACTCAAGAGGTTGAGATCTGAGAATCATGGTTTAAAGCCAATCCAAGTAGGAAAGTCCATGAGACGCTTGTCTCCAATGAACTGCCAAAAAGCTTGAAGTGTAGCTGTGCCAGTGATAGAGTGCCAGCCTTCAGCACCAAAGCTCAGGGACAGCATCTAGGCCTGAAGTTCAAAGCCTAGGACCTCTGGGACAGTGTGCAGGCCCTCAGTTCAAGCCTCATAGATAGATAGATAGATAGATAGATAGATAGATAGATAGATAGATAGATAGATAGATAGATAGATAGATAGATAGATAGATAGATAGATAGGTTGGTAGAATGAAACAAAGAATGAACAGTGGAAACCCCTCAGCAATTTGCGTAAAGCTGTCTGGGACTTGGTTGCTATCAAAGGCTTGGAGCTGCATGGTCTTGTTGCACTCAGCCATGCACTCAGGCATTGAATGAAAGCTGGTTTTTCTGCTTAGAACTCAATCTCTAGACTCCCCTATCTCCTTCCACCAAAAATCCCTACCCAGCTTTACCCTGCAGCTTGGATCCACAAGCTAGGCTCCATTGTATAAGCATGCTCTGTCCTCCTTCACTCCCTCTCTCTCTGTTCACCAAGCCTCATCCACAAGTACCTACATGTCCCCCAAAGAACAGTGATTCATATGAACATCGCTTGTTCAAAGGAGCTTCAACATATGCTCTTTTTTTGGTCTATGTGCTGGTACTGGGGCTTGAACTCAGGGTCTGGGTGCTGTCCCTGAGCTTTTTCATCAAATCTAATGCTGTACCAATAGAGCCACAGCTGCATTTCCAGCTTTTTGGTAGTTGATTGGAGATAAGAGTCACATGGACTTTCCTTCCCTAGGCTGGCTTTTTTTTGGGGGGGGGGTGTCCAGTTGTGGGGCCTGAACTCTGGGCCTGGGCGCTGTCCCTCAGCTCTTCAGCTCAAGGCTAGCGCTCTACCACTTGAGCCACAGACCATTTTCAGCTTTTTTTTGCTTATGTGGTGCTGAGGAATTGAACCCAGGGCCTCATGCATGCAAGGCAAGTGCTCTACCACTAAGCCACCTTCCCAGCCCCTTAGGCTGGCTTTAAACCTCAGTCCTCAGACCTCAGCTTCCTGAGTAGTGAGGATGATAGGCGTGAGCCACTGGCACCTGGCTTTTATCAAATGCTTTTTATTAAGGATGTATCAACTCATATACACCTCATCAAAACAGCCAAAGAGATAGCTTGTCGCCTTGGCTCTGTTACGGAGTTCAGAGAGGGGAAGTCATCTCTTCAAGGGCACACTACAATGAAGAAAGAAGATTCTAGCCAGGCACTGGTGCTCTTGCCTGTAATCCTTGCTAGATCCTGGGATCTGGGGAATCACATTGAAGTTAGTTAAGGCAGGAAAGCCCATGAGACTCTTTTAACCAATGAACCACAAAAAAGGCTAAAAGTGGATATGTGGCTCAAGCAGTCAAGCACTAGTCTTGTGCACCAAGGCCCCAAGTTCAAATCCCACAACCAACCAACCAACACACACACACACACACACACACACACACACACACACACATACACACGCATTCTAAAATCTATGCTTCTTCCTCTTTCCTCAGGAAAACTGAGGGTCTGGCCAAGGGATGGGGAGAGATGTTTTCTTGAGTTCACCCTCACTCATTTTGTCCTGAGTCACTGTAACTGGCAAGTGTCTCTCCCACGTGACTCCAGACACTGATCCCTTGTTCCACGTTCCAGAAAACACAAATAAGAGCAAACACACGTGACCTCTTTGTCCTTAAGTACTTCTCTTATTCAACTATACCAAGCCCATTCCAGGAGGGCTCACTGGAGCCCAGCTCAACTCTCAGACCACTTCCTGATGCATCATTCGTGAAGCACTAAATTCTCTAAATGACTGTTATTCAAGAAGAAGGAGTGGGGAGGAGGAGGAGGTAACCCAGAAAGGAGAAGAAAGGCCCAGGCCAGGGCCAGCCCAGGTATAGGCTGGTCAACCTGATCCAGCGTAGTAATTTCTGCCAAGCCTTTTCTAATCCCTTTTCCCCACCTCTTCCCTCTCCAAAAATCAACAAACAACTTGTCCATCTCTGCCCTTTATTCACTCCATACACGGCTCAGAGTCCAGCACCTAAAATGAGAGGAAGCAAACCACAAGCACCAGGCCAGGCCTGGGGATGCCAGCCTCACCCAGCTTCCCCCCATCTGATGTCCTGAAGCAGGTGGCCAGCTTCTGCTGTGTCAACAACAATCAATGTCTGTACAGTGCCTACCCAGGGCCTCTGCCAGGGTCTGTGATGCAACCCACATGGGCCCAAACTCACAAGTTATATGGCGTCATCTTTATGCCTTCCCCAAGAAACTTTGGTGACTCCCTCCTGAATCTACTCTTTTGCCACACAGGGCACCAAGCTCAAGGCCGGCCTGATATCTCTCCATCTCTGAGTTTAGTTCACGCTGACTGGACAACTATTCCAATCTTAGGACCCACCTTAGACAGGGAGGGCTGGGCCAGGCAATGGAGGGTGGAAGGGAGAGTTCCAATCCTGCTTTCTCACACTGTACCTGGGTCAGTTTAATGAGTGAGATGATGAGGCAGTGTCTTCATCACCACTACAATCAAAAGATCATGCAGCAAGGCACCGGTGTGCATACCTGTCATCCTGGCAACTCAAGAGGCTAACATCTGAGGATCCTGGTTCAAAACCAGCCTGGGAAGAAAAACTATGAGACTGTTATCTTCAATGAACCAGAAAAAAGCCAGAAGTGGAGGTGTGGTTCAAATGGTAGAGGGCCAGACTTGAGGGGAAAACAAAAAAAATGAAAGGATGGTGCCAAGGCCCTGAGTTCAAACCCCAAGACTTACACAAGAGAAAGGAAAAAGGAAAAACAGTCAAGGAGGTAATAGCTCATGCCTGACATCCTAGCTGCTCAAGAGACTGAGATCTGAGGATCTTTGTTCAAAGCATTCTAGATAGGAAAGTCCATGAGACTCTTATCTCCAATGAACCACCAGAGCAGTAGCTCAAAGTGATAGAATGCTAGCCTTGAGCAAAAGATCCCAGGGACAGCGATCAGGTACTGAGTTCAAGCCCCAGAACCAACAAGACTCTCCCATGTTTATATTCCAGGCATAATCTCTGGATTCTGGGCACAAGACACCTACATGTAAAATAGGCGACAGTCATAAATAACCACAATAATAGAAGTGATATAATAATTTGAGTGCATTTGCCTAGCAGGTAGGAAATCCAGTGGGAGTTCTTTGCAAATCGAGCCCTTTTGTGGATGGGATTTTCTGCCATACTGGTGGTTATTATTTCCTAAACTTGGTCTGTTCCTCTGCCCATGGTGACCTTGGAATTCTGTCTTCAGGGCTGTGTGGTGTTCCACTGAAATGTGACTCTGGTGGCCGACCACGGGCAGTGTCAGGTCCTGGCTCCATGGCCCCCAAACGTGACCTTCAACCTGGGGTCTCAAGAGACAACACAGGGCTTGAGTCACAGTAGGTCCACATCTAGGATCAGGGGCTCACACTAGATTCCTGTTGAGCTTTCTTCTCTTACACTCAACGCTCTGGATTTTTCTTAGCCCACACCTTCCAATCCATCACCCTGCCACTCCCAAATCTCACCTCAGCGCAACATTCTCAAACCCATAACCACCTATCTTCTACCAATCATTTGAGTAAAACTCACACCTCTCCTGAGATACTAAAAGAAAATCCACCCATGGCAGGGAATGCATCTTAGTGGTAGAGTGCTTGCTTAGCATGCAGGAAGCCTTGGGTTTGATTCCTCAGTACCACATAAACAGAAAAGCTGTAAGTGGTGCTGTGGCTCAAGTGGTAGAGTGCTAGCCTTGAGCAAAAGAAGCTCAGGGACAGTGCCCAGGCTCTGAGTTTAAGCCCCAGGTCTGGCAAAAAGAAAATCTGGAAGTAGACATCTGGTTCAAGTGATAGAGTATTAGCCTTGAGCACGAGATGCTCAGGGACAGTGTCCCAGCCCTCAGTTCATACCCCAGTACTGGGGAAAAAAAAATCCATCCATACTTTCAGGGTCCCTTGGTCTAAAAGACCCTCTGTCTAAAGCTCCAGGAACCCTATCCAAGATTTTGAAGGTAACAGATCCACAATCTTGGGGTACTTTCTCCTCGAATGCCACCAGCCCAACCTGCTCCCAGTTAATCTCTGAGGTTTTCTCTTCCCCAGCTCACTGGCTACATCTCAAACTAGGTGGGGTGCATGGTAGGGGAGAAGGGAGGAAGGAGGTCTCGTGTAAAGAAAACGAGACAGTTATGCAATTAAGGCCAAAGGCCAGCCTTCCACAGAGTATAAAGGCAGCCCAAACACCTGCTCAGCCACCACCATCTGACTGGCACCCTGACTGCCACCATGCTGGCCTCAGGAATGCTGCTGGTGGCTGTGCTCACCTGTCTGACTGTCATGGTGTTGATGTCTGTCTGGCGGCAGAGGAAGCTCTCAGGAAAGCTGCCTCCAGGCCCCACACCATTGCCCTTCATTGGAAACTATCTGCAGCTCAACACGGAGCAGATGTACAACTCTCTCATGAAGGTGCATTGGGGATGGGAGATGGGTGGGATGGGGTGGTGGGAGGGAACTGCCCAGATTGACTGGGCACTGGCCACGGACTGGACAAGCCAGAGTCTTAAATGGGGAATTTTTTTTTCTTGGACAGTGGGGAGTGGTGAGGGTACCTTTAGAAGCCAATTTCTAGCCAGGAACTGTGGCTCACATCTGTCATCTTAGCTACTTAGATGACTCACATCTGAGTTCAAAGCCAGCCTAGCCAGGAAAGTCCATTAGACGGTTATCTCCCATGAACCACTGGAAAACCTGAAGTGGGGCTGTCGCTCTAAGTGGCAGAGCGCTAGCCTTGAGCGAAAAAGAGCTCATGGACAGAGCCCATTCCCTGAGATCAAGCTCCAGGATAGGAATCCAAAAATAAAAATAGATGTATGTGTGTGTGTGCGCGCGCGTGCATACGTACATATGTATTTTCTGAGCAGGAAAATATGACGTATGGGGATACTCAATCTGTTGACTTGGCCAGAGTTTGGGGGGGAATCAAAACCAATACACCTTGGTACTTGGCTCCTTAAATTATTATTCCCACTCACCCTTCCCCCAGATGAGTGATCGCTTCGGTCCAGTGTTCACGGTTTACCTGGGCCCTCGGCGGGTCGTGGTGCTGTGTGGTCAGGAGGCCGTGAAGGAGGCGCTGGTGGACCAGGCTGAAGAGTTCAGCGGGCGCGGGGAGCAGGCCACCTTCGACTGGCTCTTCAAAGGCTATGGTGAGCGGGGTGGATGTCATCGTGTAAAGGGATGTGTGGCCTCAGTTTCCCCAGCCTTTCTCCTCTGGATCTTTCAAGTTTCTGCCTTGCCTCATGTCCTCCCGGCATCTTCCCACCTCGCCTTCCCATTCTCTGTGGACAAAAATCATTCACTGTTTTTCACTTCATTTCAAGTCACCTCCCCTCTGTCCGCCTCTCCCCTCCATCTTCCTCTCCCCTTTCCAACTCCCTCCATTGGCCCATCTCTGTGCCTGGGGGAGGTGGGAGGCTGTCTCCCCTTCGCTGTGTCTTGGCCTGTCTCCTTTCTCTGTCTCTTTCTGATGATCTGCAGATCTTTGGCACGCTGAGTCTGAGGTTTTCTTTTCTAGCTCCTTAGTGTTGTCTCTTTTACCTATAGGGTTTCCTTCTCTTGTCCTCTGTACAACCTGGCCTTCTGGCCTCCCTGCTCTTGCAGTGTTCCCAGGGGTACCTTGTGGGTCCCCCCATATTCTATGGATCACCTGGGTCTGACACCCCCCCGCCTTCCTCAGGAGTGGCTTTCAGCAATGGGGAGCGGGCCAAGCAGCTGAGACGCTTCTCCATCACCACGCTGCGGGACTTTGGACTGGGCAAGAGAGGCATCGAGGAGCGCATCCAGGAGGAGGCAGGCTTCCTCATCCAGGCACTACGGGACACGCATGGTGGGTGTGGACAGGGCAGGGGGAGGAAGGGGAGGTTGATCACCCAGTTTGGTTCCCCAACCCCCACTGCTTTCCACCCCTGCAGACCCCTGTTATGACCTCAGTGCAATAAAATCCATGAAGGCATGATTAAGGGTGACAAAGAAGTTTTATTAGTCAGTCTGCAACTGCCTTGTCCTAAGCTACCTTAGAACTAGGAACAGCTGCAACATCCAAGAAGAAGAGCTTCTTTCTCTTCTTCCTTCCTCCAGACCTCTCCTCTCCTCGGGCCTCTTAGCAGGACTCTCTTTTCTTCAGGCCTCACCACTCCAGAGGCCTCACCTCTCCACCAGTCTTGCTGCTCCTCAGGCCTTTCCTCTCCACAGGCCTCTCAGCAGGCCTAACCTTTCTGAAGGCTTCCTCTTCTCCTTAGGCCTCTCAGCAGGCCTCTTCTCTCCTCAGGCCTCACCGCTCCAGAGGCCTCACCTCTCCATCAGTCTTGCCACTCCTCAGGCCTCTCCTTTCCTCAGGCCTCTCCACAGGCCTCACCTCTCCTCAGGTCTCTCAGCAGGCCTGGCCTCTCCACAGGCTTCCTCCTCTCCACATGCCCCTCCCCAGGCCCAGGCATTTCTTAGGCCTCTCCACTGGCTTGGGCACTGCTCTGCTCTGGAAAGTGCCTCTTGCAGCCTGTCTCTCTTTCTGTCCCATATGTATGTGCACACACACACACACACACACACACACACACACACACATATATATATATAACTGGTGCCCTGCCCTCTGCCCAACAGCTCCCTTTGATGCCACACCCCTCTCAAGCAGCTTGGCTTGTGTGGTGATGTCAGCCCAGGATAGGACTTCTTTCCCTCTGGTTCTCACACCTCTCACCCTCCCCCCTGCAGACCTCTACCTTCTACCCTTGCAGACCCCAACCTCCACCCCTGCAGAACCCTACTCTCCACCTCTGCAGACCACCCTCCCACCTCTACTCTTTCAGTCCCCTCACCCTCCAACCTTGTAAGCCCTTCCATAGACCCTCCATCCCAGCAGGGGTCTTTATAGATGCCCTGCCCATCACCCCTGCAGGCAAACCCCTTCCACCCCTGCAGACTTTCCCCTTCCCCCCTGCACATACCTTCATAAAACCCTCACTCTCCACCCTGCAGGCACCTTCATAGATCCCACCTTCTACCTGAGCAGAACGGTCTCCAATGTCATCAGCTCCATTGTCTTTGGGGACCGCTTTGACTATGAGGACAAGGAGTTCCTGTCTCTCCTGCGAATGATGCTGGGCAGCTTCCAGTTCACAGCCACCTCCACTGGGCAGGTAACCCACGCTACGCCCTGCCCTGACTCTATGAGCAAAATCCAGGTCAGAAACATAACTTGAGAATAGCCAGGACTCATTCCTGTCATCCTAGCTGCTCAGGAGGTTGAGATCTGAGGATTGTAGTATAAAGCCAGCCCAGGCAGGAAGGTCTCTGGCTGTTATCTCTAATTAACCACCAGAAAATCAGAAGTGGAGCTGTGGCTCAAAATGGGTAGAGTGCTAGCCTTGAGCAAAAGAGCTCAGGGACGTGCCCAGACCCTGAGTTCAAGCCCCACAGCTGACAAAACAAACCTGAAAGCCAATGACTCAAGCCTATAATCCCAGCTATTCAGAGGCTAAGATCTGAAAATCAACATTTGAAGACATGCTGGGCAGGAAAGTCTGTGAGATTCTTATGTCCACTTAACCAGCAAAAAGCTATAAAGTGGAGCTGTGGTTCAAGAGGTAGAGCACCCGGGCAGTGGCAACACAGTCACGAGCCCAGGACTGGGCAGTGTGCATCTGTCAGAGACCATTCAGTTGGTTTGGTGCCACTTCACAGCCCAGGAGTCGAGTGGGTAGTGGTGCCCACGCTTTTACCAGCAGGCTCTGTTTTCAGGCCATGGTGGAAATGTCCATGTGTCCTCAGAGACCTGCATATTAGACACTTGCTCTAGGTCCTGACATAACTGTTCAGATGTACAAAAGGTGGGGGCTGGTTTTGAGGGGGACTTGGAGGCAGGAGAATGGCAGATGGGGACCCCATGGCCTGGGGAGGGCAGTGACACTTGGGGTAGGGGTGTGATTTTGCCCTTGTTCTATTGGAGATTGAACCCAGGCCTTGTGCATATTAAGTAAGCACTCATTATTTTATTTATTCACTCATTTATGTGAGGTATAGTTGCTTCAAATGAAACCCTTCCTGACTCCATTTCCAGAGTAACTGGGATTCCCAGTATGCGCTACACCACCTGGTGAATGTCTGTCTTTTCTCTGCTTTCTCTCTCCACCCCTCTCCCCCACCCCAGCTCTATGAGATGTTCTATTCCATCATGAAGCATCTGCCAGGACCACAGCAACAGGCTTTTAAGGAACTGAAGGGGCTGGAGGACTTCATAACCAAGAAGGTGGAACAGAACCAGCGCACCCTGGACCCCAACTCCCCGCGAGACTTCATCGACTCCTTTCTCATTCGCATGCAGGAGGTTCGTGCTGGAGGTGGACGGAGAGGGAAGGAGGGAAGTTCAATGTTGTGCAGAGGAGACTCAGATTGGGCTGGGGTGGAGAAGAGAACTATGTGAATTATATAAATTATCCTCAATGTTGATCATAATGAACATGGGTGTTCATCTACAGAGCCCTCATCCACAGAGAAGATAATCGCAACCAACTCTACTTCATTATCTATGCTAGGCATTTGTTGTTGTTGTTGTGGGGCTTGAACTCAGGGCCTGGGTGCTGTCCCTGAGCTCTTTTGCTCAAGACTAATGCTCTACCACTTGAGCCACAGCAACACTTCTGGCTTTTGAGTGGTTCATTGGAGAGAAGAGTCTCATGGGGACATTTCTGCCCAGGCTAGCTTCAAACCAAGATCCTCAGATCTCAGCCTCCTGAGTAACTAGGATTATAAGCATAAGCCACCAGTGCCTGGCTATGCTAGGCATTATTTAGTGCCCATAAGAACCTTTTGTGTAGGTGTGTGTGTCGTGTGTGTGTGTGTGTGTGTGTGTGTGTGTGTGTGTGTGTATAGGCACTGTCCCTGAGCTTCTTTTACTCAAAGCTAGTACCCTACCATTTGAGCCACAGCTCTCCTTCCAGGGTTTTTTGCTTGTTAACTGGAGATAAGAGTCTCACAGACTTTCCTGTCCAGGCTAGCTTCAAACAGCAAATCCTTAGAGCTTAGCCTCCTGATCAGCTATGATCACAGGCATGTACCACCAATACCCATCATAGCTGTTGAATGAAATTATATTAGGATCACAATGAGGAATCGCAGCACAGAGAGTGTTGATGATCTGCCTGAGCTCACATAGAATGGAAGCTGTGCCATCTGGCTTACTCCTGGTCTGTCTCTGAGGCTGGTGCTTGAAGCTACCACACCAAATGAGAGGAGTGGTCTAGAGTTCAAGCCCTAGTACTGGCACACACACACACACACACACAAATCAGATGATCAGGGGTTGGAGGCCTGGCTCAGTTGGTAGAGCACCAGCCAATGAGCAAAATCATCAGGTACCAAGTTTCAGTCTCAGTCTCTAACCTTAGAAAGAAAAAACAGCTGGGCGCTGGTGGCTCTCATCTATAATCCTAGCTACTCAGGAGGCTAAGATCTGAAGATCATGGTTTAAAACCAGCCTGGACAGAAAAGTCTGTGATGTCCTTATCTCAAAAACTAGAAGTGGAGCTTTGACTCAAAGTGGTAGACTGCTAGCCTTGAGTGAAAGAGCTCAGGGACAGTGATCAGTTCCTGAGTTCAAGCCATAGGACCAACAAAATCAATCAATCAACCAACCAATCAACCAGAGAGTCAGCTATGCGATGGTGAGAGGTGCATTTTGGGCAGCAGAATCCTGGGAAAAATTCTTTTTTTTTTTGTCGGTCGTGGGGCTTGAACTCTGGGCCTGGACGCTGTCCCTCAGCTCTTCAGCTCAAGGCTATTACTCTACCACTTGAGCCACAGCACCACTTCTGGCTTTTTCCATTTATGTGGTGCTAAGGAATCGAACCCAGGGCCTCATGCATGTGAGGCAAGCACTCTACCACTGAGCCACCTTCCAGCCCTCCCCCTCTTTCTTTTATGTCTGTCATGGGGCTTGAACTCTGGGCTTGGGCACTGTCCCTCCGCTCTTCAGCTCAAGATGAGCACTCTACCACTGAGCCACCTTCCTAGCCCTCATGGGCAAAATTATGCAAACTGGACAGAGCCTGGCAGATTCATTTTTCACCTGGACTTTACAGAAGTAGACCCCAAGGGAACCTTCCAGAAGACCCTTCTAAGGCATGGGACGCAGGGTAAACTTGAGGGCCTTTCTCCCCACAGGAGAAGAAGAACCCCAACACAGAATTCTACATGAAGAACCTGGTGCTCACCACACTGAACCTCTTCTTTGCGGGCACGGAGACCGTCAGCACCACCTTGCGTTATGGCTTCCTGCTGCTCATGAAATATCCAAATGTGGAGGGTAAGGCCTGGCAGAGGTAGGGACAGAGAAGTGGGAGATGGGGAGCCCTGGCCCTAAAAGCTCCCCTAGGTCAGCTGCAATGTTCTGAGGGTCCAAGAACCTGGACCCTCATGGGCTTTGCTCTAATCAAGACAAGAGAGTCAGATTGTAGATTTAGCTGTTAAAGTCAGCTATGAAAACATTGGTAACTGGACAGTGGTGGTTCATGCCTGTCATCCTAGTTACTCTGGAGGCTGAGATCTGAGGACTATGATTCAAAGCCAGCCTGGGCAGGAAAGTCCATGAGATTCTTATCTCCAATGGACCACCAGAAAACTGGAAGTAGAGCTGTGGCTCAAGGTGGTAGAGTGCTAGCCTTGGCTAAAGGGCTCAAGGTGGTAGAATGCTAGCCTTGAGCTAAAGAGCTCAGGGACAGTACCAAGGCCCGGAGCTCAAGCCCCACAACTTACAAAAAAAATTGGTGCTACCTGAACTGATTAGTAAGTTGCTGATCTGAAGGACAGAAGACCCCACTGCCTCCTTCTCCAAACCACACCCTTAAGACTCTTCCCTCAATACCGACAGAACAATGAGCTAATGGCCAATAGCTGCTGTGAATGAATGCTGAGCTCTATGCCCATCATTCATTGTCCCAAGGCCTGCATTTAGTTTTTCTTCTTTCTTCTCTTTCTTTTTTCCTTCCTTCTTTCTTTCTCTTTTCTTCCTTTTCCTTCCTTCCTTCTTTCTTTCTTTTCTTCCTTTTCCTTCCTTCTTTCTTTCTTTCTTTCTTTCTTTTTCTCTCTCTCTCTCTTTTTATTATTTGTTGGTTGTGGGTCTTGAACTCAGGGCCTAAGTGCTGTCTCTGAGCCCTTTCACTCAAGGCTAGAATCTACCACGTGAGCCACAGCTACACTTCTAGTGGTTCATTGGAGATGAGAGTATCATGGACTTTCCTGCCTTGGTTGGCTTTAAGCCCCTGATCCTCAGCTTCCTGAGGAACTAGGACAGGGCACCAATGCCTGGCACTTTTAATTTTTTTGACCCTCATCCCTGCTTCAAAGACCTCAGGTATCAGCTGGGCACCAGTGGCTCACGCCTGTAATCCTAGCTACTCAGGAGGCTGAGATCTGAGGATCACAGTTGAAAGCCAGCCAGAGCAGGGAAGTCCATGAGACTCTTATCTCCAATGAACTACCAGAAAACCGGAAGTGGCGCTGTGACTCAAGTTGTAGAGCACTTGCCTTGAGCTGAAGAGCTCAGGGACAGCGCTCAGGTGCAGAGTTCAAACCCCACAAATGACAAACAAACAAAACAACAACAACAAAAGACTTCAGGTATCTAAACACATTTCCCCTTTCCCCACCCCCAGCCAAAGTCCATGAAGAGATTGATCGGGTCATTGGCAAAAACCGGCAGCCCAAGTTTGAGGATCGAGCAAAGATGCCCTACACGGAGGCTGTGATTCATGAGATCCAGAGATTTGCAGATATGATCCCCATGGGGCTGGCCCGCAGGGTCACCAAGGACACCAAGTTCCGGGAGTTCTTCCTGCCCAAGGTGCCACTTGCCCGCCCCTGGGACCCCAGCACCCCAAATCCCTAACATGCACGACTCCCTGGCTTCCCATCTTAATCAAAAACTTCCTTGACCTCCATGTCCCTTCTTTCCTACTGAGAGACTTCTGTATCCTAGCTTCCTGAAACCCCACCTCGCCCCCAACTTCCCCTGCTCAGATCCAAGCCTTGCCTTGAATCTTCCTAAATCAAGAGATAGAAATCCAGGTCCTGGTGAATCAAGCCTGTCACTCATAGGCTTCCTGAGGCTTGAACTCAGGACACAGTCACTGTCCTTGAGCTCTTTTTGTTCAAGGCTAGTACTCTACCACTTTGAGCCACAGCACCACTACCGTGAGACTCATCTCTGCAGTTAGCCACCAAACATGCTCCACCCTCCACTCCCACAATTCCACTTCCTGGCCCCTCCTACCATTGTCCAAGGGGAGTTTCAGCACATTCATTTTTCCATCTGCATATCTCACTCTCCCTGCTCCTCTTCTTTTCAGGGTACGGAAGTGTTCCCCATGCTGGGCTCTGTGCTGAGAGACCCCAAGTTCTTCTCCAACCCCCAGGATTTCAACCCTCACCACTTCCTGGATGACAAAGGACAGTTTAAGAAGAGTGATGCTTTTGTTCCCTTTTCCATTGGTGAGTGACCAGCGTTGGCCACCAGCTCATGGCTCACAGCTGTGTGGGCTAGCCCTCTTACTGAGCGACAGCCTCACTAATACCTTTCTCCGTCTTGGAAGTTCCTCCTTACACCTGTCCTTTCTAGCTACTCAGGAGGCTGAAAGCTGAGGATTGTGGTTCAAAGCCAGCGCAGGCAGGAAAGTCTTTGAGACTCTTAACTCCAACAAACCACCAGAAAACTGGAAACGATGCTATAGCTTAAAGTGGTAGAGCCCTAGCCTCCAGTGAAAAAGCTTAGGGACAGCACCCAGACCCCGAGTTCAAGCTCTACAACTGACCAAAAAAATATACTGTAAGTGGAGCCAACTTTGAGGGGAAAAGCTAAAGGAAATTGCCCAGCCTCCTCATGGACTAAGGAAACTGAGGCTCAGAAAGAATGAGAGCCTTCATAGAAAGTCTCACAGGCAAGAATTTTACACACACACACACACACACACACACACACACACACACACACACATCCCTTAGACAATTCAGCTGGGAATTTAGGGGTTTGGGGGTGACATCTCAGAGAGAGAGTTGGCTTCACCCCTACCCTCTCTCCTCTCCTCTGCAGGAAAGCGGTACTGTTTAGGAGATGGCCTGGCTAAAATGGAGCTCTTTCTCTTCCTCACCACCATCATGCAGAACTTCCGCTTCAAGCCCACGCAGGCTCCCCATGACATAGACGTGTCCCCCAAATATGTGGGCTTTGCCACCATCCCACCCACCTATACCTTAAGCTTCCAGCCTCGCTGAGCCCCAGGGGATGTGCAAGGGGGGTGTTGGAAGAGATGAGGATGGGGGGTAGGGGGACCGAGGGAAAAGCAGAGTGGGGAGGGCCAAAATGAGGGGGGAAGGGAGGGGACCAGATGGGAAGAGGAAATAGGCCAGATTGCTGACCTTGCTAAGAAGATGGCTGCTTCCAAAATGGGATGTCAGAAAGGGAATTTTTATGTTGCAAAGAGTAATAAAAAAAATAAATCAGTTCTTATTTATTGAGGGAAGGTTGTTTGTCTAATTCATATCTGGGGTCTGATGATGTCTGTGCACACCACCCGTGCAAAGGGAGCAGCAAAAAGCTGGTAGCGGAGGCGTGGCTCAAGCGGCAGAGTGCTAGCCTGGAGCAAGAAAGCTGAAAGACAAGCAAGCACCCGGGCTTTGACTTTAAGCCCCATGAGTGGGGGCAGGGGAGGAGGAAGGGAGGAAGTAAGGAAGCCAAGAAAAATAAATCACCAGAAGCTTTAATGCCAGAAGAGGATGTTTGGTGTGAGAGTGGCATCTCTGATGTCACGCAAGGTCACTTTCAAAGGCCAGTAGTGGAAGAAACACATTGCTGCCTTTCTGCCTCACAGTGCCATCTCAGAGTCTGTTAGAACTACTGCAGGCGCCAGCCATGACTCTTCTGCTCCCCCTCCTGGTCCATCCAGGTATTGCCCAGCACGGACAGAAACTTCACCCAATGTCTTATCATTTCTAAAAATTATTATCAAAAAAAGAGAGAGAGGGGGGCTGGGAAGGTGGCTCCGTGGTAGAGTGCTTGCCTCACATGCACAATGCTCTGGGTTCAATTCCTCAGCACCACATAAACAGAAAAGGCCAGAAGTGGTGCTGTGGCTCAAGTGATAGAGCACTAGCCTTGAGCTGAAGAGCTGAGGGACAGCACCCAAGCCCAGAGTTCAGGCCCCACAACCAACAACAACAACAAAAAAAGAAAGAAATTACCTAATACAGACAGTAACTCCAAAATATAATAAAATAAAAACTATTATCTTGGGGCTGGAGGGTGTGGCTCAAGTAGTAGAGTGTCAGCCAATGGGCATCAGATACTGAGTTTGAGTTTGAGTTCCACTATCAGTGTGTGTGTGTGTGTGTGTGTGTGTGTGTGTCACACACACACCAATCCTGAGGCTTGAACTCAGAGCCTGGGCACTGTCTGAGCTTTTGTGCTCAAGGCTAGTGCTCAACCACTGAGCCACAGTTCTACTACTGGCTTTTTAAATTTTCAGTAGTTAATTGGCAGTTAATCCTGCCTGGGCTGGTTTTGAACCATAATCTTCAGATCTCAGCCTCCTGAGTCGCTTCTATCTTAATTCTTAACTTTATAGTCTATTTTACATTATTCTTGATGCTTTCTCACATTTGAATATACCATTCTTCAGGCAGATGGATAGAATATAGCATAGAAGACACAGAATAGGGTTTCATAAACTTCCATCTATCTGATTCAACAAGTTAATAAGATTTAGTAAGAGAGAGAGAGAGTTGCTCTTAAACAATTCATGTTCCAAGATTTAGTAAGAGACAATTGCTCTTAAACAATTCATGTCCCAAGAATCACTGAGAAATGACTTCTCCAATCTTTTCTTGCTATGTAAGAAAAAGAGAAGCAAAGCAAGGGAGCAGGCTTGGGGTTAGGCAAAGACCAACAGGTAGCTGACCACACCACACCACTCAACTCCTCCCTCTCTCCCTTTCCAAAATCAACAAGTAACTTGCCTCTATTGTTGGGTGTTTTGTTCTCTGCACTTTGGCCTTCCCCACTGGCCCCAGAAAGATAGCAGAACTGGTGCCTCTCCCCCCTGACTGCCTCTTTGGAGAAGAAGAAAAGGAAGAAGAGTAAGGAGAGGAAGGGGAAGGGGAGAGAGAAAGGGAGGAGTGGAAGTGGAGGTAGAAGAGGGAGAGGCAGGAGAGGAGGGAAAAGAAGAAATTTCAGTTAGAGCTCCTTACAACCACAGCTATCATCTATAATCTTAGCATCTCCCTCCCTAACTTTTTTTATACCAGTCCTGGGACTTGAACTCAAGGACTGTGCACTGTCTAAGCTTTTTTTTTGTTTGTTTTTTTAAAATTTTATTTTATTTTATTTGTGAACATACTGTACAGAGGGGTTACAATTACATGGGCAGGATAATGCGCACATTTCTTACCAAGCATTGCAGCCTCCTCCTTTGGTTTACCCTTCACATCCCTTCCCAGCCTCCCCCCTCCCCC